AAAATAGCTAAACTTTTTGGGAATTCTCACCAGTTTATGCATCTGTTGTGTTTACTCATTGTGAGTTAAGCTTTGATAGCTTGTTGAAAGTCACAGGGGACGAATTCAGCTTTTCACCACTATAAAATTTGCATAACGTTGGCCTGACACCTAGTGGATACAGTAATGTTGGTCTGAAAGGGGTATCAGCAAGACCCTGAAGATTTCTCATCTCCATCTGTTTTCTTAAAATCCACAATCCTACCCTTGATTCAGATGCAATATGACATCAGTTAACTGCTCTAAGAGCTGTCTACGCCGGCAAATTAAGTACAGTATAATAGTCCATCCACACCTTGAATGTTTCAGTTGAAGTGATGTTTAATCCACATGTCAAAATAGTACTGAACACCTGAGCCAGAGCCATATCAGCTCAGTGAGTCTGTAAACAACTCCCAGTCACCACTTACAAGAAAAAATCAATACTCACTAACAGTGAAAATTAAGCTGTACAGAAGAATTGCCATATAATATTAAAGTTATAATCTTTAAGATTTTCATTAGATGAAACCAAGTTTTCAAACTATTCACAGATAGCATTTGTCATATTTTATACATTAGATGTATTTACACTCAGAAATTTCCTCTCTATAACTACTTTGCATTGCAGTGCACTGTCAGTGGCTAAGTTCGCCATTCCTGTGCTAGATTCAAGTGCTATGCAAATGCTCAAGATATTCACAAGAAACAATGCGTGCATGTACTGGATGAAATTTCTCCAGACAGTGACCAGTGCATCCACACATTGCATGTAATTTGTGCATGTTTCACATAATGACATTCTGTAGTCTGAAAGAGCAGCTTTTCATTTTGAAAAGAGATATATTTGCGTACATGCAAGCTGTGTGAGTTGCTCATCTTCTTCTTCTGTTGTATTCTGATGTATATAGCATGTTTCCCCGCTGGCCCTGGTGATTAATAAACATGTAATTTCAAATTGAACTTGTATGACTTGGATGTTCTTATCATTACCACCACAGGTAGTAACCACAGGTGTTGCCAAATCAACCAGAACTGTAATCTTAGGGATGCTTTACTACAATATGGTTCAACTCAGAGTGTTATATTGACCTTGTATAGCTAAGATAATACATCTCCATTAGCAATGGGAGAATCATTAATAATATTTTCTCATGAAAAAATCAGCCCTGGCTAGTTTTCTTTGACTCTGCAGTGGAAACAAGGCTTGTTTGAGCTGTAAGTCTCTGCAAGCTTAGTCAAGCGCGGAATCGCTTCCCCGGCGCCAGGACAAGATATCTAAACAGACAAGACAAAGTGACAAACCACTATACTTCAGACCAAGCCTCAGATTTACCACAGAACAAAAAAGAGATTCAGGAAGAAACTTATAATTGAGGTATGGAAACTAGCACCATACTGAGTCAAACAGAAAACACAATAGTTTTTTGTGTGGGCAGGATAAAGTGCCGATAATCTCAAGAGTCATGATTGTGTGCATGATAACTGATTGTTTTTAACTCTTCCGTGATGGGCTGTGGAATACTACTGACCAGCTCTGACACAAAGGGTCTCATTCACTTTCACATTGATCGAAGAAAAAAGGCCTTAAATGAGCAAACACAGATGAAAGGGACTCATTTTCTGGGCTAGTACAGGGATTAGTTCATAGTTCATGCATAGCCAATACTCTTAAGCCCATGTATCACAAATCCTTTTAAATAATAAATACCGCTCACAAATTGGGATCGTATAAGTAATAAAAACACAAGGGCTTCATATACAAAACAAAATATTACCTTCAGTTGTGCGCTGAGTAGAGCGCAATCAAATGAAGTCAAGTGCAGAATAGAAAATAGACTCAATGTGAACTGACTGTCCATGTTGCTTCCATATAGTCTTTTATTGGACCAAGGAGAACTGTCTGCCCTTCACACACACACACACAATTCTAATCAGTTAAATCTAAAACCCATGGGTATAGGCTCTATTAGGCCATGTGCTTATGAGCACATAATCATTTAGTGATGAAGACACAGCACCCAGCGGTGGGTGGCAACAGTAATGCTGCGGCATGAAAATGCACTGCTGCAAGCTGTGTGCCAAAGCCTTAACTTTTAATATACGTTGTTGCCTAAAGGCAGACATTAATGAGTCCTTTTTGTCAAGGTGAAGGAACAGAGATAGCACACAATGTGCTTAACTTTAAAGGATGCAATCACAGCTTTGACTGTGAGAGTGTGGGTTATAAAATTATACCGCAGTCTTCTGGGTAAACAAGTTAAGCTTTTGCCCTTGACTATACAGATTGATGAGATACTTTTAATGTCAGTATCATGCATAAAGAGCAGATATTCATTCTTGACATTTTGTTGTATGATACAGTCAGGATTGTCCTGTAAGTATAACAACTAATTACCTTACAATGTAGCTAGTCTGTTTACTGTGTATTTTACTTTGAAATAACCCCCTGACTACACACTAAAAAGTAAAATATGACAGAGTTCATTAAAAACGCTCGGTTTTCCACAACTGTCAAAATGACTTATTGTAGACACAAACACTAGATGGTGCTGTTTGGTTTTGACTGCTTTCCACTGCTTTCAGACTGGTGTGAATATTGTAACCTCAGTTGTCAATACCACATTTTGTGTTTTCAGTCTGCCTTGATTTATTGTAAATTTTATTTATTTACTGCTCTTCATGCAATCACATAGTTTTTCTTTGCTTGCATTAGCTGTAGTGCAGCCCACAAACAACAAAATGACAAACTGTCCATATAGATGGCTTGTAAGCACAAGTAGTTTATGGTCTAAGCTAGTGATTTTGTTGTGCAATCCACATTGAACTGCACTCTAGTGGTTGTTGTGGTTCAAGCAGCTATTTATGTCTGATTTGCCGGGCTCTGTAAACAAGTCTGAGTACAAGAAAAACATGTCACATCACTATCTGTGATGCCCAAAAATGCGTTCTAGTTTTGTTGCTTTTATGCACCCACATTTGGGAGTCAGCCCAGAGAGATGGGATAATTTTCCAGCCTTAAGGAACGGGCACACAATCATATTGCCACCTTGTGGGATGTACTCCATGAAGGCTGGTACAATAGTAAATAAGCTTGGTCTGTTTCAAGGAGCATGAAACAAATGAGATAGAAATAAGCTTAACTAATGCAACCATTGGAAACCTAAGCTTTTTTTGTTGACGTAGTACATTTCTTTATGCTTAAAGGATGAATCCCATCTGTAAAAATGATGAAAAAAACATTTAGCAACTACATCACATGGCCAGAGTAGAACTATTCTCATTATTCTCCATCAACCCGAGCCTCTTGGTTAATCTGACCTTTACTAAATGTCAGTAATCAAGGCCAGTGTGTTTTACATGTGGTTGCTTCTTTTCCTCATATGCAGACTTGATCATATCTCTGTGTGCTACAGTAACCCAATCCTGTTTTTGTATCTCCGTGTTTTCAACCAGCCAGCCGGCAGTGCAAGCAGCCAACAAAATGAGTGTTATCAAGTATCAGTGCTGTTTTTACTGCTACAACCATGTGCCAGACAGAGACAGAGGTGATGGAGTGAATAGGAATGCAAGCTATAGAAAAGAAAGAAGAATCAGGGGGGAACACTGAAGTGAGTATGATATTAGAAGAAGAGGGAAAGAAAGAATGAGAGAAATAGAAAAAAGAAAGAGATTAAATGATAGAGACACACATAAACTGAGAAAGCACCCTAACATGTCACATGTGAGTCGTCAGCAGTGTTGCCAACGAGAGGCTCTATTTTTAGTGGAGGAATGTACACAGAGGCCTCGTGGAAAGAGACCATAACAACAAACAGTACGCAACACGCTCCTACAAAGAGACAGCCTCCTTTGGAACATACAGTCACACAGCATCAACACGAGAGAAAAGAGGAAGAAAGTGCAGAAAAATGTTGAGACATCAGATTGCTGCTGAGATCTGAGCGCTTTCAATACAGAGCGGGACCCCCAGAAAACATAAAGACAGAGAGGAGGAGCAGGTAAGAGATGTATTCCAGCAAGGCTCTTGCGCTGCCATGATCATTGAACTTGCTTTGTCTGATATTTGATGTTGGCATGGCGTTGAATAAGTATGATAAATATTAATCAAAGATAAGCTTGTTTTATACTGGGCTTACATGTTGCAGTACAATCACAAGTACAGACTGTGTATTATGTTGCTTTAAATGCAGACGAATACATTTTATTTAGTACATTTTGCAGTCATCTCAAATGCATGCGGCGGAGGGGGAACAAAGCTGCAGTCACATTCATTCAGTTTAAAAGCCAAAAGGAAAACAAAAACATTTTTGAGGCTCTACATAAAACGCCATCACACAACAGAAGCACCACTCGTTCCATGACAATGAATAACAACCACGCAGAAGAAATAGCTGTGCGTGATTTTCTGTAGTAACCTACTTAGATAACTAGTCTCCAAAATAATCGTACAGGCATACTGTAGGCCTTGTTCATAGAATGAGTGCTGCAGTGCTACATCTAAAGCCACATAACAAATTTGTGTATAATCTGAACAGGTTTTAAATTACTTGTGTATCTGTAAATTATACATTTAGGCTGTGATTTTGGGGAAAGCGTACCAAGATACATGGCGCAGGACTGTATTGAATGTAATGTAGTCTGGCTGTATGATAATGTGTTTGGATTTTGGTTTGTTTTGCTACCCTTGTCAATTCTGGGATTTTAATCAGTGTGGGAGATGATCAATTTGAAAATGTCTCATGAATGATAGTTGTACATCTCTTTCTATTGAAAACAAAATTCCACATTAGTAGCTACTAAACATTATTTTACAGCGAGCCCTCAAATGACACCAAGTGAACAACCACATAGCTAAAACGCTTGAATTAGAAATTGTGTTAAAGTACGTGACTGCAAATATTACAATAAACAACCAACAAATATAACAAGCCATGAAAATCACACGATTTGACAATGGCAACATGGTCTCTCTCCTCAGAATGGACCAACTTGCAGACAAAGTCTTCCACTACAAAGACAAGGAGCATTCCTCCAACCTGCTGCAGCAGCTCAACAGACTGAGGCAGGAGAACATCCTGACTGATGTGTCACTGTGTTCAGATAACACAGAGATAACGTGCCATCGTAATGTGCTGGTCTCCAGCAGCCCCTACTTCAGAGCCATGTTCTGCAACAACTTCTTGGAGAGACAACAGACCAAGATTTACTTGAAGGGCATCCCATCAGCCATTCTGAGCAGTATAATTGACTATGTTTACACAGGACTCATTAGTATCAGCATGGATATTGTACTGCCTCTGATGCAGGCGGCATCCATGTTGCAATATGGCAGCATTTTCGAGGCCTGCTCAAGCTTCCTTCAGGAGCAACTGAGCCCTGACAACTGTTTGAGCATGATAAGACTCGCTGAAATCATGAATTGTAACAGTCTGAGAGACAGAGCAAAGGAGATGGCAATGAAGAGCTTCTCTGATGTGTCAGCATCTGAGGATCTGTGTGAGCTCTCCTTACCTGAGCTCATGGAATACCTGGAGGATGATGGTCTTTGTGCGGAGGAGGAGCAGGTGTTTGAGACTCTTGTTGCTTGGATCCACCATGATCCTTTATCTAGGCGTGGTGCCATAAGTGACCTTTTCAAGAAAGTTCGCCTTCGCCACATCCATCCCACCTACCTCTTCCAATTCATTGCTAACGACCCTCTGATCCAGTCCTCGACCCTCTGCATCGAGCTCATAGAATCTGTGAGACGCCTGATGTTTTCTGTCAGCACAAAATACATAGGAGGGACAGTGGTTGACTTCAAATCTCTCTGGGTAGCACCAAGGCGTTACTCCTACCATGATATGTTGGTGGTGGTAGGAGGCAGAAAGAACAACGAGCAGACCTCAAGGGAGGCCCTCGTCTTTGATGAGAATAGCGAGAAGTGGCAGCGGCTCGCCAAGCTGCCCATTCGCCTGTATAAAGCCTCCTATGTCGCCCTTCACAGTGTCTTATATGTTATCGGAGGCCTGATCACAAACACAAAGTGCAGCCAAGTCAGTACGACTGTCTACACCCTCTCCCTCAAGACCAACCAGTGGCGGATGACAGAACCCATGCTGGAGCCACGTTTCGCCCACCAGAGTGTCTCCTACCTCCACTTCATCTTTGTCCTGGGCGGCATTGGGCCTGACAGACGACTGAAGAACAGTGTGGAGAGGTAAGGTGGACTGTAATTATCTACACGTACAGCATAAAACACACAAAGGTTGCGGATACTAACACATATCTCAATAATGCTACCAGGTACAACAGTATGTTCAACCAATGGGAGTCTATGGCACCCATGCCTGAGGCTGTGATGCACCCTGCAGTGGCTGCTACTAACCAGAGGATCTACGTGTTTGGTGGAGAGGATGCCATGCAGAACCCAGTCAGAATAATACAGGTAAGACACGATGTTCATCAATCCCTCCGACACTATTTTTGTTTTAATTAGTCTATCCATTCTCATTCATTCATTCACTGAATCTATTTCCCTTCTCCCCTGCTCCCCCTCCCCTTCTGTAGGTGTATCACATTGCCAGGAACATGTGGTCTAAGATGGACAACAGAACAGTGAAGAATGTGTCTGCTCCTGCTGCCGTAATGGATGACAAAATCTACATCATTGGAGGTAATAGCAGTGACAAAGGCTAATAATGAGAAATGAATCTATAAAGAGAACAAGAACCGTATTCATTTTGTTGTACTTCATTAATATTGATTTATTTCCTGATGAATCTGATTGTAGAGTTACATCACTGCATTCAGCTTGAGCCACTCATGCTGCCACTCTCAAATGAATGTCTCCCCTGTCACAGGATACACCAGGAGAATGATCGCATATGACACCAAAGCCAACCGGTTCATCAAGTGTGCCAACCTGAAGGAGAGGAGGATGCACCACTCGGCCACCGTTCTCAACAACAAACTCTACATTATTGGCGGACGTTATGTCAATGGCCACGACGTCATTGAGGACTCAGACAATTTTGAGTGCTATGACCCAAAGACAGACACTTGGACATCTAAGGGGACTCTGCCGTATAAACTGTTTGACCACGGCTCCTTGACTCTGACCTATGTCTCATAGACATGGGCAAAATCATAGCTGAGGTCAGTCAATTGTCATTCAAAAAGTATTCATGCAGAAATAATTACTAATTATAAATAGGGTGCTTTCATTTTGTAGCAGATCTCCACTGTTCAGGCTTTCATGAGGGATGGACTTGATACATACCTCAATAACTCAAATATTCAGGTGTATATAGAAGACTTTCGATACCTGTTACTTTCAATATTCCATGTCTTTTCTATGTTATTATTTAACAAGCAAACCCATGAAAACAATCTATCCTGCTGCACAGCCCCGTCTTAACCTGTCTGACTTCACCAAGGGTGAAAGTGCTGTTTTCGGCCTGCTCTAAATCATGAGATTTCACTTGTCATGTTTAAATCCAGAGGCTGTGTACTGTGTGGTGCAATTCAAAGCTATGCTCAGCTGTTAGGTCTGAATCTGCTGCTCTGTCTGGTGAACTTTGGGATCACTGTCTGTAGCTTCAATGCAAAATGATGAATACATTATTGTGATACCATTGTTACCAAATATTTCCATGCAGTGATGAAAAGGAATTTGTTTAAAATTTAGGATTATTCTATTTTTCTTATTTTTGAATTTTGTATTTTTTTCACAGCTTCTTGGCCAATTACCCTTGTATGATATAATGCACAACAAAGTCCTGTATCATCATATACATATCTACTGTATGCTGAAATAATAAAATTGTATATTTATTAGGATTCAATGCTACCATTTTTAAAGGGTTTCTGATGTTTTTCTGCTGCTTCTTCTGGTTTTAACTTAAATTGATTTTTACAATAAAAAGTCGATTCACATGTGGTCTCTCTCCATCTTTCTTCGGTATACTGTGTCTTCACAGTGTCAGTTGACAGCAAATGCAATCTGAGCAGCACGTGTCCTGTTTGTGTCATCATCATATGTTTGACCCAGCTCACGCTCCTGTCCACACAAGACCTTTACAAGCCCAGACAGGTTCCTGCCATCCACACAAGGGGGGCACAGAAAAGTATAGAGTATAGAAAAGGTATCCTTTTACAAAGAACAGCCTTAAATATCATTCACACACACACACACACACACACATTTAACTTATCCCAATTAAGACCAGTGGGGAGCCATTGTGCAGTCTGAGGTTCAAGCCAAATCCCCACAGACTGAGCTTATGCTGCCCACTAACAAAGCGCAGCGTAGTTCCCAGCATGCTGGGGCTGTACAGACATCATAACTTAGGTGACTAACGACACAGGTGGGACTTGAACCCACAATCCCACAGCTCCAGAGGCTGACGCCTTATTAGGCCACTGGGCAACAAAGAAACATTTCTCCCCGTCAGGGAATCGAACCCCAGTCTTCCATGTGACAGGGGGAGATACTGTCTACAATACTGACTAGGAGTGACAATAAACCTCAGCTGACTTTTTATGATTCTGTTTATATAGGAAGCACATGGCAATGAACCGGAAAATGGGAGACAGGCACAGTACTGCACATCAAAGCCAGATGTAGCTGCCTGTTTACCAAGCAAGACAGAACATCACCAATGATTTAGGTTAAGGTGGGGTATGTGATTTTAATTGTATACACATCTTTTTGTCAAATACAGTTGTCCGTTCAGTGAGTGTGCTGAAAAATAAATCATGTGTTTGTAACCAGCCCTGGCGCTTTAAATGGGAAAAGAACAAAGTGGTCGACCACACAACACTATTCCAACTATGATCTCTGTGTCTGGTAACATTGCCCAAGACTTGCCCAGGGACATTCACCTTATTTCCACGATATGCTGTTATTGTGATGTTTGCTATATGGCAGGAGAGTTGTGAGTACCTCTGTCTGGAGCTGGTGTGCTGGCTCTGGGGCCGTCTCGTCCTCTCTCCATGTAAGCTTCGCAGCTGCAACTGTAGCGAAAGTTTGCTAACCCACAACTTTGCTAACTTAGCTGTATTGTGGTATTTGTCATTGTATTGGATTTCTCCAGAATCACATATTTATTTTCAGAAATGGCATTTAGTGTTAATATGAAGAGATGTAGGTAATTCAGATCTCTGAAAAGAAATACACAATCTTCTTTTATGATCCCTCAAAGTAAGCAACAACAACTTTTGCTGTTTTATTTCCTTATCTAATGACGTGTATGAAATTAATTGTCCTTATGCACTTTATATATAGCTTTGGCAATATTTTTGCTATACATCCATGCCAATAAAGCTAATTTGAATTTGAAAACAGCTAAAGTGATTACACAATTTCATTCATCAATGACTTTCAGACATGAATGTCAGCCATTTCATGTGGAGTAAACATAATGTGACCAGGAGGTATTACACAGGAGTCTTATGTGAAACCAGAAGTCACTGGGTCAAATGTTTCAGTCGCTCACTGCCAGCGAATAGAGTCCAGGGGACAGTGGGTGGAGTGGGTGAGAAAGGGTTGGGGACTGGAAAAACTTTAGGTGATCTGATGCTATTTTGAGAAACAAACAAAGAGGGCAAATGTTACACCACGTGAGGCATGTGGTTCTGTCAGTTGCCATGCAAGCTGATAGATGTGAGAGACGACTAGAGAGAGTGAGAAACCAACGAGCAGGGTTTCACAACAGAGAATCTGAGTGAATGATGAAACTCAAACGGGAGGAGCAGCAACAGGTGTATATGTGAGTGGCTGTGTGTGTGTGTGTTTGTGATTAAGGTTTTTTTTTAGGGTCGAGCAGGACTGACCAGCTGTCCCGTCTGGTCACAACATCAACAAAAACAGGGATGATGGACAACGGAGAGAGAGGGAGAGCGATGATTCACTAATAACCTTTAAAATTGTTCTAATTTTATGCCTCGTGTGTCTCTGTGTCTAACATGCTAACATTTGCTACTTGGAACTAAACACAAAGTACAGCTGAGGCTGATGGGAAGTCAGGGGATCACCAAACTCATTAAGATACATACTCTTGAGAGCATGAATATCTATACAAACGTTTGTGGAAATCCATTATGTAGACGTTGAGATATTTCATATAAACAATAACTTGCTGGTAGTGCTGGTTATAAAGGCAGGGGATCACCTCAGTCAGTAGGATTCATCCTCGTGGGACCATGGACATCTGTACAAAGTGGGGTCAAAGTGCAGTTCTTACTAACCAGCATAGCGATCGCTAGAGCCACGCGGGTAGCATGGCTGAAAATTATGACTTTTTACGTTGTCTTGTGCGTAGGAGCCGCGTAAACCACTTTCCCTTCCTGCTAGCCGGATTAACCCTAAACAGAGCCCATCTGTGATTCGTTATTGTTTGTGATTCACTGATTAAACCAAACTGATAGAGCCAGTCAGTCATTCACCCACTGGCTGAGCACTTGCTGGGACTTTCCATGTCACCCTGTAGTTTGGCCTACTCTGAAAATAAACTTGATCAGAGTTCAGGGACTCACAACACCGTGCACATCCTGTATGCCCACTGTAGTTCACACAATACTTTTTTAGCCTTGAAGTTCCACTTTTCACACACACCCACAGTGGCTCTGCACTGTTCAACTATTTCAGAGTGGATCACTTCTGCAACGGCTGCAACTGTAAGTGATGATCAGATACACATGTTTTGAGACATTTGCATGTAGGGCAATAAAACAATAATGATAATTATTGTGATACAACTTTCCTCACTAAAAATATAACAAATGTTCAATAAGTGTTCAATAAATTTTTGATTTAATTCATTTGAATCACAAAGGAATTAGCACTTCATTTTTCTATTAAGATATTTATTTTGTTGAGGAAAAGAGACTGAAAAAAGATTTTATTTAATTTACTCATGCATATTTGTTGGAAAAAGATTTAACTGTTTTGAATGTTCTACCTCAGATATGTTAAGTGTTCCACTGTTTGGCCATCTGCAGTCCAAAAACCACATTGGCCACATCATCAAGCCTGGTCATGCTACACACACAGGATGTGTCCCAACACAAGCACTAGATGTGCTGAAACACTGCTGGCCTGCTGGTTCTTGGAAGACACTGTGCACCATGTGCTGCTGCTGTTTTGCAGACTGTATAGTGTATCATGAATTATGGACACCCAGAACCCCCTCAGTGCCCTCTCTCCCTCCTCTCACTGCAGACATGTGAGCATACATTCATTCACTCACATGGATACACACACACACACACACACACACACACACACACACACACACACACACAGACAATGAATACACAATGTTTTTCAGAATTTTGAGGAAGTGAACTTTACATCTTTACATCTGCAGTCACATGCATTAGTGACCAGACCAGAGTTTGTTTTAGGTGAGACATCACTTCACTTCCTCATTGATGCCTTTGTTATCATTCTTACTGTATATAAACAAATATAAAATCCATTAAGAAAACACTTCCTGATCTTTCACTACAATAATGGACATGAAAACAGGTGATTGGATGTGGAAGCACAAGATAAAGGCTATTATAGCCATAAACAAACATAGAAACTTTGCATTTGATACCCAAAAGCATCACAGATGAGTGTGTAAATATATCATGTGTTTAATTGAGTTGATAGGAGCTGACCCAGTGGCCGGGACAGACTTATTTAAACATTAATAGCACAGTCCAAAATAAACAAAATACCCATATCCAGTCTTCACAGATCAGTTGGTGCTGTTCTGGAAAAATACATAGTAACAAATGGTAATACAAAAATACAATGGTAACCCCCTATGCAGACACACGCAATCCACATTGCAACCCAATCTGTGGAGAAATCCAAAGGACAGCTTTATCTATTTATAATACTGGGGTGACTAAGAATCAGGGAACTTTACAGCCACGGCACTGTGAGGCTGAAATTGTTTTCTTTTCCTATATATTTCCTGTGATATACAGACAGTACTGAAAAGCTTGAGCCAAGCACTTCCTGAACAGTAAGGTATGAAACAATTGTATTCAGATCCTTTACTTAAAGTTAGGGTAGGCAATTTATTTCAGAAGCATTTTTTTGTTTGTTTGTTTTATATGTTAAAATTCTCTTTATATCCTGACAGAAATCAATTACACAAAGCCTGTGACACAAAAAGAGACTGTTGCTGTTGCAGGGCTGTATTAGCTGGCCTACCTGTCTGTCTGCCTACCTGCCTGCACCCTGCCCTTGCACTCACTGTAAATGAACATGTGTTTTGGGGAGTGTCATGGAGGGAGGCCTGCAGGGAGGGGGTGGGATTTTTTTTTCGGTTGGATACCTTAAAAATCTAGTTCTCTCTTTGCTAGTTCTACAACCTTGCCTACCCTACCTTTAAGAGGAGGAGGGGGGTTTGCGTGTCTGTGCCCAGGGGCCATTGCCTGATAACCTGTCAATGACTAGCTGTTAAAAGTAACATTTCCCTCTGAAATGTTGCACAAACTAGTATCAACTTTAAATACTCAAGTAAACGTCCAAGCATGTAAAAATTAAGTGAGTAAATGTAGGTCAAAGATCCACAGGGCAAAGCAGCTCATCTCCCAAGCTGTTTAACATTAAGAAAAACTTTCCTAAGGGATCATTAAGATCCTTCTAAATGAAAATCCTTGGTGTCCCCTGTCTCTACCTTTCCATGACATTAAAGGTTTTGTATCCTCTGCTCTTCTCTCTAAGCGGTGTTGCAACGCTCAAGTTGATAAACAAAGCCACGTGTTGCAGGGAAGTTTCCAAAGTGGGCGGATCTCATGTATTTCCGGGTTCTGAGTTGAGGATATAAGCTGCGCATAATCAACAGTAGACCAGAAATACGTCCAGGACAAATCGCTTTCAAGAAGGGGTACATCTTAAGTCAAACAGGGACTATTCATTGATATATATTTTT